TCCATTTGGATGCACAGACAAATTATTGATTTATGCAGAAGGGAAAAAAGATGGAGAGCAGCAGGAGGAGAGTATATATAGGTAGGAACAAGGAAGAAAAATAAACCAAAAAATTAAGAATTACTTACATTTGAATCATATTTATAAATATCACATTGTGTCTCTAGTGTAAAAAGCAGTAAGAAATGTAGGAGTAATAAAACCCAAAATGTGTAATTGCTATCATAAAAAAGAAAGGGAAAGAAAGCTGTAAAGGATTTAACTGCATGTATGTTTAAGTGTATAAGATAGATGACCTTATTACTAAGTGTTTCTTAGATCGTTGAACGGAACTGTTTGAATGTCCACTTTTTATGTTTTAATTTTGTAATTTGAACAACTATTTCTAAGATGACAATATGTAATTTATCAACTAGTGATTTCTTAGTGGTTTTTTTGAAATTCTGTATTATTTCTACCTTTTTTTCTGTTTTGCTTTTTTTCCTCTTTAAATAAAATTTTTAAAAAAGAATTACTTATATTTCATATGGGGCCTTGGGTGGCCAAATGTCCAGGTTTGACCTCACATTAAATGATTTCTAGAAGCCATGATTCTCAGTGTTAAACCTAGTACAATACCAGGCCAACCAAGATGAGACAGTCACTAAGATGTGAATAGTGGAGCTCCTCTCCCTGTAACTCTGAGCATCCCCAGAGTCAAGAGGAAGCTGTGCAGAGTGCCCTCAGTAAATTCACTTTTATCATCCTGCAACACAGTGGAGACTTAAGGATAATATTGGAGTGGAGAGTCTTAGACGTATTTCTTAATGGTATAATCCATAATAATGTACAAAGACTCTTTTGTACCAGAAAAAGAACATACACATAGTGATTAAATAAATTTTTAAAATCTGAAGGTAAAAATAGAGGCAAAAGTAATTCAGGCCTCCTGAAAAGTTTTTCAGAAACAGATTGTTCATAAGAAACAAAAAAAAATTGTGAGATGTTATAAAAGATGGTATATTGGAAATATGAAAGAGTGTATTAGACCAAAATAAAGATTGTTTTAAAAACCAAAAATAAATAAATAAATAATATATATATATATTTAAAGTTTAAATAAAACATTAAATTTACTGATCTTTTGGTTGTTCAAAATATGCTACCTATGAATATATTTTAAATAAGTAATTTGCCTCCAGTCTGGATCATCAGGATAAAAGACAGTTTAAAGTGACAGTTGAATCCTAACTCTAGAGAACAAGCAGAAGTTTAGTGGATATTCAGGCATTTTTGTATCATGTCCAATTGCTGCTGACGACATAGGTGGGTAACAATTACAAAACTCATACCTTTATAGATGTTTTAAGTAAAAGCAGAAAATTTTAGCTTAATTTTTTCCAAGTAAAGAGTTTGAATAGTTTTAGCTCACTATATCAAAACAATTTTCAAAGGCAACAGCTTCAGTAAATCTACAGACTAGTTGACACCAGCAAAGAAGAAAATTCATTAGTCAAATTTAAAAATAAAACCTTTTTATAACCGGTAGAGATTTATTAATGATTTGGGGTAATTTACTTAGCACAGATAATGATGTACTATTTTTATTTGGATAGAAATATCATTATGTGTTGTCATTTTTAGCTATGACATCCATTCCAACAAAGTGCTGCATCAATTTAAATTAAACCCAGATCTTTACCTAGGGATATTATGATAATTTTTAAAAGCCATTAGATATATTTAATATCATTTCTCATTTGGGCTATTCCTTAAAGCTAATGAATTTTTGTAGTTAGTAAATAAAATAATACCTGTACTATACTTATTTCTTCCTCATCGCTTAAAATTCCTTTAATGTGGATGTTTTATAATGGTATTATATTCATTGAATATTTCAAGGTTATAATTTATAAATAACTGAATATATTATGCAAGAATATGGAGCTGTTCATACTGCAAAGAGATCTCTGAGCTAGTAAAATACTTCAAGGTAGATGTCTTAGTTACTCTTTCATTGCTGAGACAAAATACCCGACTACAAGCTACAGGAGGAAAGGTTTATTTAGCTCACAGTTTGTAGAGCTTCCCGGTCATAGTCAGATGGCCTCCAAGCAGGGCACCATGGCAGGGTAGATAAGAGGCAGCACCAGCAAGCATGTCTTTCCATTTTCATTCCATTTAGACTACAAATCTATTAGTTTTGCATGCAAAGTGGGGCTTCAATAAATCCATTTAGCCACACCCAAAACTATGCTAAACCAACCACAAAATTAATCCACTATTACACACCCTTAACTCAGGATCACACACCCATGATCCAGCCACCTCCTTAAAACCCCACCTTGAGTATATGAAGCTTTGGGGAGACATCTAGATACAAGCCATAACAGCAGACAGTAGACTTATTTATGATTCCCACCTGCCCAAGAGTTGGCATTCACTAAGTAAATATGTGCTGATGACAGATACATGAAAAGATGCTCAGCATCACTAATTACTAGCAAAGTGCCAGTTAAAACCACAGTGAAATACTGTCTCACAGATCTCAGAAGAGCTGCTAGCAAAAAGACAAAAGTTAACAATTGCTGGCACCAAGTTGGAGAAAGGAGAACCCTTCTATAATGTTGATGGGGAAGTAAATTAGTACTGCAATTATGGAAAATTTTTTGGAGATTCCTCAAAACCTAACGCTTGGATTACCATGTGATCCAGCAATTCCACTTCTGGATGTTAATACGAAAGACTTGAAATCAATATGGTGAAGAGAAGTGTGCAGTCCCAAGTATGGGATTGTAGCATTAGGGGCCAAGTTAGGAATTCAGCCTCAGGACCTACAGCGGATGAACAGATGAAGAAAACAATGGAATCTTGTTCAGCATTCAGAGAGAAAGGAACTCTACCCTTTGCAACAACGGAGATAGAGCCGGAGAATATTTTGCTGAGATAAGCCAGACACAAGGACAACCACTGTGTGTCACTTATATATGAAATCTTAAAAAGTCAGACTCATTGAAGCAGAAGGCAGAAAGGGTTACAGAAGATGGAGAATGGAAACACAACAAAGTCTCAGACAAGATTAACAGGGCTTCTTAAGATTTCATAGGTACAGTGACTATTATTAGTAATAATGTATTACTTATTTCAAAAGTGTTAAAGTTGAAATGTTCTCACTACAAAAATTATTTAAGGTGGTGTATGTTAACTTGATTTAATTATTCCATATTGTACTCATACATCATAGCATCACTTTGTATTATATATATATATAAATTTTAAATATACTGATTTTAATGAACAAGTGAGACTCCTTCCATAGTAGCCAGTTATAGAACTGAAGAATATTTTAAGAACACCATCGTATGGATGTTTCTACCTAAGCATTCAGAGAAAACATTTGAGCAGTATTCTTATATTCATAAGTTAAATAAAGGAGATTCCACTGTAACCAATTTGCTATTGCCCGTATTAATATTTAAGAGCATCCAGTAGTTAATCTCCCACACTAATTCACCAGAGAATCATTGAATGCCTCTCATGTGACTCACAAGTAAAGTAAATTTATACAAAATATGTTATCTATGTTTTCTGATTGTGTAAAACTCATGTTTAGCTGTAGAATATGTCTTCAAACTTCAGTTAGAGGTAGGTACAGCCTGATATTCGAGGAACCTGAACCATCTTCTTGTGTGATCTTGCTACTTTTTACATGTCTACCTTCTTCATGTTACCATGTATTTATCTGCACCTGGCTCCCCAAGTTCACACTGGAAATGTACAACTTGTGGATCAGAATTCTTTAAAACACCAACCTACACTGACCCTCAGCAGACTATGTTATTTACACTTCTACCTCAAAATATGCAGACAAAGGGCCTTTTTAATGGCTCGTTCTTTACCACTGATCCTCACTAAAATTAAGGGGAAAATCTAAATTCCTTCCTCCTGTGTTTGGTTTCTAGGTTCTGATCCACATGAATATATAAAAAGAATAGAAATGCCAATCATCTCAAGGGAGCTAGGTAACCGATGCCTACTGTCCCCATCAATATGGAAATAAAACATCCAACAGAATATTGTGAATAATTTTAAAAATCATTACTTCAATAAAGGTTAATCATGAAGGCAGTGAGATCAGAGGCCCTTTAGTAACTCAGAATTACCAAGAAAAGGAGACTCCTCCAAAATTGTTACTTCTCCAAAGACTGGTACTGCAAGAGGACAGAGTGGATTCTGATGATGTTTGGCCCTAGGAAATGCCTGCCTCAGGACATGATGTCACAGGCTCCTGAGCCCTGATGGTTGGGTTTTCAGACTACAGAAATGTCAGTGGTAGCACTTAGTCCTGACACCCAGCATCGTGAACAGTTATTCATGTAACATGAATGGGAAGAGCAATAAAAATTTGCTTTCCCATTCTCTGACCCACATTCTCCTATGGACCAAGCACACTGGCGATGCACACATTCCCTGGGGGAACAGGACTAGAGGGTAGGCACAGTTGCACGGGCTTTGGCGCCTCCGGAAAAACATCAATTTGCAAGATTAACAAGACTAGTGTAAGGTCCTGCCTTTAGTGACAATGACAGGAAACAGAGCTAGGAGGACTGATTTGATAAGAAATAAAACACTAAAGGAGGAAAGAAAGAAAGGAAAAGAGTACATGTATGTAGGTATACATACATAAATGTGTGTATATGTGTGCAGGGTAGGCTAACTACACTACTAATCTCTAACCAAGAATCACTGTTCATCAGAAAGAACAGTTTGAGCTGTCCTTGTTTGATTGTTTGATCATTTTTTATGCCTAGATCTTGTAACCTGAACAACTTCTTCTGAGATAATAGGTAATATATTAACTAGCATTAATTTCCTGCTATTTTTTAAAATTCTGTATCATTTATATCCTTTTTCTGTTTTGCTTTTTAAAATAAACTAATCCTAAATTTAAAAAAAGAAAAAATAATAAAATGTAGATTCCTTATTAAAAAAAAGAAATAAAACACTTTGGCACAGAAAAATCTCCATAAATCTTTATTGAAATATTTTCATCTTTGCAGAATAACCCAGGAAAAAACCTAGATTGATCACTACTACCAAGGCAGTGAGTTTTAAGAAGGGAGAAAGATACTATTTCAGTCCTGGCTAACATGTAAAACACCTTATTTCCTTGCTGGTTTTTACCAAGCTTAACCCATTGTGGAGGTCACTTCTGCATCTTTCCATATCATCTAATAGGTGGAAATTTTTGCACAGAGATTTTTGGGGAAACTAAAGCTCTCACCAAACAGACTGAGATCTCCTCACTTTTTTGTTTGTTCGCCATCACTACTGAGATGTACATTTATCATCCAAAATGACGTCTTAAGCTTCTAAATCTAAACATTACATTTGAATAAAAATAATTCAAGGTGTGTACTGGGATTTTAGGAAGATACTGAGAAATGGGGGCCAAAATAAACCCAAAGCAGGGGGGAAAGTCCAAAAATAGCAACTTTCTCCAGCATTTTTAATCCAAAATGACAAAGGAAATATATCAAAGAAATTATTTCCCAGAAAAGCCACCACTCCTGTGTGGATGCCGCTGACTAAAAGTCTGCCTAACGGTCACAGTAGTGTCCACTGCAGACAGTGCATCCGCACCCAAGGCACACATCCACTGTCAGGAGCTCTGGCCACAGCCAGGTTTGACCTCCTGCCAAAAGGATGCTTCTTCAGGGAGAAGAAGGTAAAATAAAATTTTAAATGAAATCTAAGGGTGCTTCTGGCTGAGGACAGGGCCTGGATGGGGAAGCCTTGGCTCCCTATACTTGTGGCTTTGGGCGATTTAAGATTTCTTTTGAAGCCACATAACCACACTAAGCAAAGACCCCCTTACTGCTGGACTTCAGGGAGTCCAGGCAGAACAGCTGGAGAAGGACAAAAACAGTCAGATGCATCACTCAAACACTTCACCTCTTTACCGCAGCTCAGCTTTCCTTGCAAGTATCCTCAACAGCTCCAAACCCAGCTTTTAAAGCAATGTTCCCCCAAGTTTACTGTCCTTCGTGGTAACCAGGTAACCTAATCACTGCTCTGCCTTGCTCCTCTTTCCATAAAACCCAAACACTCCTGTCTTCCCCTTCCTCAGCTGCAGACACGCATGCATGTGTTCCCATCCCTACTCTGTGCCATCCTTCCTGGGCGCAGCCTACCCACCCTGCTGTTCCCATCCTACCCCTCCCTGTCACTCTGCTGAGCCCAGCCCTGGAGCCTTCACTGCCTCGATCGACCCTAAATCCGGCCAAGGCTGAGAACAGCAAACAAAAGAGCAACTGTGGGAACTGACGGCTCGAGGGCTGGCATCTGGGCTTCCCCTGCTTGCCTCACCTGGGAGGTGCCAAGGGCTGGGCTCCCTGCAGGCTCCTCATACACCTCAAGACGACAGAAGGTATAGCTGGCCCTTGGACAAGCGCAGTGTGCTGTCACTACAGCAGCAGTGAACACAGGAGAGGGGGGCTCTCCAGGGAATAACCCTGGACAGGAAGCGGGACTGTCTGGGCCAGAGACCAGGGGCTTTGTACCATAAAATACGATTCCAATATCCCTAGAGGGGGGAAAAAAGAAAGGGAAAGAAGGCAGAGAAGGAGGGGAAAGAGGAAGGAAAAAGAGGGGAAGACACAGGGAGGGTGCAATTCTAACTTTGTGTGAAAAGATACGAATCTAGGCTCAAAGCCCAGGCGCATTTTCAAATCCCAGGGCACAGGGCTTTCGGGTTGAAGCCAGCCCTAGAAGCCTTCCACGGAGAGGGTGTGGTTGAGCTCGTAGCCGTTGCTATCCTCTTCCTCCAAAAGCAGCTTGTCGATGGTCAGGGAACTGATGGCCCTCCTGGGGTCATCCATGTCCTGAAGGACTGGCTCAGGGAGAGAGATGGGCAGCTGGACAAACTGGGGTCCAGGCAAGGCCGGGGCTGGAGGCTGGTATTGCAGGGTAGAGGGAGGCAGCGTGGAGAGGGGCTGAGGCCATGGGAAGTAAGTGAGGGGCGCCTGGTGCTCCGGACCCTCCAGCTGAGGCCCCACGGTGGGCGTGGCAGCGCTTCTTGTCTGGGATGGAAACACAGGACCAAGGGTTAGCACCAGATATGTCCATCACCCGCCCTTGCCTTAAAGAAACCTCCAGTTCCTCCTCCAGCTCCGCCATTCCCTGGCTTCTCACTTCGGGAGGCTCCACCTCCCCCTGCTCTGAGTCTTCCTTGCGAGGGGCAGCCAGGCAAACCTCAAACGCATCCCTCCTCTGCAGGTGTCCTTGCACGTGCTACTTTCTAATTCAGAAACTTTCTCCTCTATGCATTGGCATACAAATAGTACCGAAGTCACACAGCTGAGCACATTAAAGATACTTTCCCAGGGTGCATTGATTTTTAAAATGCACCCTTAATGTCAGAGATCTTAAGGTTTACAAAATGCGTGAGTCTTAAAATGTCTGAAAATAACATGTTAGACAGTGAGCCTGGCACATAACCTAGCAGCTAGCTGTATCTGGAAGGTGGCTGCTGTCCTGCCCAGACATGAAAGCAGTTGTGGCTCCACACAGCAGCTCTGGCATCCTGCGGTCCCCAGTGGGCCACGGCAGCTCCCGCACCTCTTCCCGTGTGCTAGCCACAGTGCAGAGGTCAGGCTCCTTACAGCCTGAGAACTGCTCTGCCAGCAAACTTGGCCTTTCTTCATGCTGCTCCCTGGAGCCATACCTGTCCTTTGCTCCTGACTCTGAGCTGTCCCCCGTGGCCACCCCATCAGGGGCCCCCATGACTCTCCAAAGCTCAGAGCTGTTATCCCACATGCTCTAGAAACTACACATCCCACTGCACGGAGCCTACCCTTAGGAACCTCAGGCCCAGCCTGCGAGAGAGGCAGCGCCCTGAGGGTTTCTGGTCTTTCACAATTGAAGAAACCAGCTGGAAGAGGAACATCTCCTCAGGGACTACTGGGGATGTAAACTCCCCCTTCCCTGCCTCACTTATTCTCTGGTTGTCACTGGGCCTTGAAAGGAAATCGCGAGTCCGCCGTTCTGAGCAGAGCTTTTGTCAGCTTCCTAGGAGTCTTGTTTTAATCCAGACTGATCTAGGAGGTGGGTATGGGGTGGGGCCTGGGATTCTGCATTTTTTAACAGATCTCAGGAGACACAGTGTGACTGATCCAGGCACTGCAGTGTGAGGAGCACGGCTGTGGGGTACCAGTCACGGAATAATGAAGCAGAAAGCTCGTGCTCGCAGGTTGTCGTGTGTCTCACTGTGCATGGCCACTTCTCCTTGGACATGAGCCCATGGACCCAAGGTGAGCCTCTGGGGAGCAGAAAGAATCTGGGAAAACCTTAAGGTTGCCCTATTTCAAAAATCTAAATAAAGCTTCTTCACGTCTGAGTGCTAGGGATGGAATTACAGCAGCCCAGTGCGGATGCTGACAGCTGACTGGGGGCTCAAGCCACCCAGGATGAGTTCATTTACAAAACCCCAAGGCAAATACTTTATTTCTTAATAAATAGTTTGTTTGATACATGGAAACTTTCAGAGCAAATAATAAGGATGATGAAGGGGATAAATCATGGAAAGAACCGTCCCAGGGAAATGAGTAGGAACCACCACATCCTCTGCCCACCCCTCCTCCGCCTCAGGCTCAGTGATGCGGAAACGAGGCTCCCGGGGAACACACTGCATCCCTCCTTCTCCCCACCTCATTAAGACCCCGCAACTGATCTGCGAAACAGCCAGGTAGGCATGAGGGTCAGCCTCCCACAGGCCTCGCCTGGAAGGCGCTTGGAGGCAGAGCGGGTGCACTGGGAAGACACTAGACTCTAGAGGGAAACGGAAGGGACGTGGGGAACCAAAGCAACTTCCACCCACAAGGGTGGGCTCTGTGACTACTCCTGAGGCCCAGCTGTCCTTCCCACTGGTGCCCTGCGACGGAGCAGATGCCACGAAACCTCAACCTTTATTCCTGGGAACACCTGAAAGATTTCCATGCTTTTGGTCACATAAAACTGTGTCTCTTTCTTCCTCAATTCCCAGAAGAGCAGACCCTCCCTTTCCTATCTGGCCCTTGAAGACGGCCCGTTGTTGATGTCACTGGCAGATTTGGACGGGATGGTAACCAACATTTACTTTCTGAGTGTCGGGAACTGTGTCAAGCTATACCTGAGTTCATTTGATACCGACAACAACCTTCTTGTTAGTATTTGCATTTTACAAATGAGGACACTGAAGCTCAGAGAGGCCAAATTACCAGCCCAAGCTCATAGAACTAGTAAGTAAAGGGGTAAGGATTGAACACAGCCAACCTGATGCTACAGATGGGACCCCAAAATTACCCTACAGGTGGTGCTAAGTCAAAAGTACGGTTTTCTGGAAAGTTGCATCAACTTCTGCTCAGCCTAGAAATCTAGAAAATTCCTTTGTTAAATGAACGATCAAATCACTCTTCAAGTTATTTGAATGGGGAAAAAAAGGCTGGCACTGGCACAAGACCCTCTACAGATACCATTCATTAAAACTTTGCCTCGTAGCCAAGACCCACTGCTGCCAAGGCAGCCAGGGAGACACAGGGTAGAGGAGCAGGGGGCCTTGGCAATCCCAAGGGGCAGGAGCAGGACAAGACAGACAGGAGCTATCTGGAAGTTATCTGGGGTCCATGGAGATAGCAGCAGACTTCTTAGATGACTCTGCTGACTTGGATGACCTGATAACCCCGAGCACATGTAATAAGAAAGACCAAGGTAAAGTCAGCCCTATTTTTCAAAGGCGCCCTCTGCTTTTGCGTGACGTACCGTGACATTAGTGATGAGTGGTGGGGAGGCGTAGGTCAGCACTGACGAGGGCCCCACCACCGTGTAGCTGGGGCACACAGGCTGTACATACATGTCGGCTGAGTAGGGGCAGCTGACAGCTTCGTGGGACACATACTCAGTGTAGGGCGTCCAGGGGGTCAAGGGCTGGAGGGTGGCCGGGGCAGGTTGGGAGAGCCAGCTGGCACACAGAGCCCCCTCCTCTGTCACTGTGGAAGCAGAGACCTCCATGTCAAGGCAGGAAGGACCTGTGGGGAAAAGAAAATTGCAGAACTGCAGGTGCCAACCAGAGGAGGGGCCTGGAGGAGTCCAGGGCTGCAGGAAGCTCTTACCCACTGTGGTGTAGGTCGCCAGGGGTTGATGGGGCAGCACCACCTAGAGGGGAGAAAAAAAGACCAGGGTCAGTGTTCAGCCATCTCCATCCAGCCCTATGCAGGGAGCTCAGCCAGGAGCTCAGGTAGCAGAGCAGAGAAGAATCTCCCTTGTTAGGACAAACCCCCTACCCTACGTCCCAGTCACCACTGCCTACGTTTCTGAGGGATCTGTGTTCCAGTTTTCCGAGAAGTCTGTGCACATAAGGAACTGGCACCTCCCTCTTCCTTGTGAGACCCCCACTCATGCTGGGGTGTGCTTCTCACTCATTAGGGCCTTGCCAACATCATGGCTCCATGGGCCCAGCAAGCCAGTCCCCCACCCTCACCCCACTTCACTTCCTATGGTACCACCAGTAACTTGCTGCCCTCAGGCCCCCACTGACAAGGAAGTGCATTTCTTCCAGACCTCTTTGCCCCAACGCATGTTGGCGCGCGCACACACACACACACACACACACACACACACACACACACGTCACGGGACACAGGTCACGCTGGCCCCTCACCGCAGTTGGTGCAACAGCCGCCCCGCTGCTGGCGTGGCCACGCTTCCTCCGCAGCAGCTCCTTCACAGGCTCCTTCACGCGGACACCCTGATAGGGCCGAGGTGGGGCTGGGGCTTGCTCCGGGGCTGTGGCTGTGGAAAGGAACCACGCTGGAGCCCAGAGCTCCTCTCAGACACACTACAACCCAAGTCCCCGCGTCCTCGAGCATCCGCCTGCTTCCTGGCTGTGCTCGACCACCAGTGATGACAGGTTATTTGCTGGAGGGTCTGCCTGAGTTATCACTCTTCCTGCGCCCAAACCTTCTGCGACGCCTCCACACCCACGCTTAGGGCCCGGCTGCCCCTTGGTCTAGAGTCAAAGGCTTTCACCTGGGACCTGATCCCGTTTTGCTAACCACTCTGCCCCCTCGCCACTACACAAACTAGCTCCCGCCCGAGGACCTGGCCATGCTTGTCCCCTGGTCCCAGAAGCCGCACTTCAGGTTTTCCAGGCCTGAATGCTCTCCCACGTCTTTTGACCTCTGCAGTCCATGGAATTTCTGCATTTTCAATTCTCAAATACTTGCAGATCTGATTAGTGCTCAACATAGGTGGCAGTAGAGTACAGCAGTAAAAGCAAGGACTCTGACTTGGGTGCCACAAGCCTTAAATCCTGCTCCTGCCAAACTAGCTGTGTGATCCTGGGCAAGTTGTTAAACCTCTCTGACCCTCTTAATTTTTAATTTCTTATCCAAGGGATGTTTTAAGCATTCATTTGATTTAGTAAGTGAGAAATAAGTTGTATGTTTCATATAAAATCAAATACAGGGTGAGTGCTTCATATATTTTTATCCCACTATGTGTTAGTCTGCATTATTAATCTGGTTGGGAGCATTAGAAATATTTTGAATGCTTCCAACCAGGTTATGAATTTATCGAGGTAAACTATTTCCCCGTATCTTCCCAAATGAGGTGTCCATAGTGAACTCTGACGAGTTGTTGATTTGTCAGTTGGGTGAGTCTTTAACATGTGCTGCCATTTATCTTCCGTTAACCTCTCCTGGACCTTTAGAATGAAGGGCCTCGAGCAAGTGGTTCTCGGGTTGTTCGTGACTAACAGGACTTGGGAGACATCCAGTGCTGATCTGTTTGCCCTGGGGCCAGAGAATATCCACTGTGCTGCCGAGAGCTTTCCTTTCCTTTTGTTATCAAAGGCAAGAAGCCAAAGCCAACCCTGTATTAACCAGGGAATGGGCTCCTTCCTGGCCTAGGAGGGCAAGCAAAGCGCTGTGGCTCTGCCTGACAACCTGCCCACTCAGATGGCCTGGGCTGGATGGAAGCACTGGCCCTCAGAACTCACATGGGTGCCCATTATCATGAGATGATAAGGGGCCCAGGGCCCAGGCTCCCAATCAAAGGCCCGGAAGCCCGAGTATCTGTTAAACCCGGATCCACAGTGCGGCTGTGATTGAACTTTGCTCAGTAAATACCCAGCTGATAAGGCCCATGCCTGCCTGGGCACCAGACCTCCCCCCAGCTTCTAGGCAACAACATGGCCTGGCTTCCAAAGCCAGGAATGTAGGCACAGGAGGGAAGTGGAGCCCCAGAGACAGATGATGCAAACCAGGGCCACAGCATTTCAGAGGAGGCTTCAGACCCACCTGCTGGGCTCCCTCACCTGGCCATGTAGCAAAATTGACTAGAGAGCAATGCAAAATTCAGATTCCTAGGTCCCTGCTCCTAGAGGTCTGATTAGGATCTATATGAATGTAAATCCCTCCGTTAATTCTGAAGATGTAGGACCATTGACCGTTCACCCCTGATTTAACAGAAGAATCTCCCAATAGGCGATTAAGTATCCTTTCTTGAACTGCCCTGTCACAAGTGTGAACACTGCTATTTATTCCTTTTTTCAATTCTTGTGTGTGCGAGGGTAGCACTGAATGTGATGGATGGGATCCCTGCCCATGAGGACCTTGTAGTCTAGTGAGAAAGATACAGAAGTTACCAGGGAGAGCGGTGTCACAACTTGTGAAATTCAGGCTGATCAAAGAGGGCATAGCAGTGGCAGCCACATTACTATCTGTGCCCCTGGACCACCTTCAAAGCTTAAAACACCTGGATTCAAACCTGGATTCTCACCTATTGCTAGGAAATTCTCAGATTTATTTAATGACTCTCGGCCTCAATTTCCTCATCTACAAAACAGGAATAATAACTCCTGTCTCCCCCAGTTGCTGTAAGGAGTGACTGAAATAATAATTGAGCTCCCAAGGTTGGGTCCAGCATATGGTAGATGTTTAACACGTGTTAATTTTCTCCCCTCCCCTCTACTCACATCTATTTTCTTTGGGAAACTATAATTTGAGAAAAGTTCTTCCTCCTCCTGAGCCTGCCTTATGGTAACAAGTGCTGCATTTCCTTGTGTTATCTTCTAATGGAACAATTCATGCATTTATAGCTTTCTCGCCTATAAAATAATCAAAATGGTAAGTATACGGTAGGTAAGTCAAGAATTAGATGTAAAGTGCTTAGAATAGAGCTTGGCATGGGGAGCCTGAGCTAATGTTATTAGTGATAGTGGCAACACCTCCTTCCTCAAGGAACCTCTTATTCCTTCAGTCACTTCTCAATAACTTTTTAAACCTTGGCCTGCCTCCTGGGTGCATCCCTCCTCTGCAGGTTCCACTTGCCACATCCTGTCTGCTTGGCGATGCCCAGTGCTGCCTCAGACCTCAGGGGTGGCCTGGCATGGCAGAGAGCAGAGCTGCCTACTCCTCCCACATTCTGCTCGGGGTCACTCATGGCCAGTCACAGCCATATCATGCAATATATTCAAGTGGGTTGCCTGCTATTTCTCACATAGTACAGTCTGAGACACTGTATACTCAGGAGAAAATTGGGGCATATTTGGAGGTCCCCCTACTGTGGTCACCCTATCCTAATTTATCTGGGCAACAAGAAAAACTCAATATGTTTTTCTTGTTGCCCAGATAAATTAGGATAGGGTGACCACATAAGCACACATCTTGGCCCAGATCAATAAAGTACATGGCTTGCTCACTCATCCCCCTCTCATTTGCATGTAAATTTCTGGGGAAAGGCCCAGAGGCCTTCTGATTGTACTCCCTCCCAGGAAGGGGACACACTGCACACTTGGCTGGAAAGGACCAGCTGAACACTTCCAGGATCTTGTCAAGTAAGGATTTTCTGCCTCCTGTTGTTTTTAAATCAATGAACAAAGAGGGCTCTGGGGAGCTGCTGTGAGCAGATGGTATCAACTTCTAAGGTCTGGACTTCCTTGGAACCCTCAGTGTCAACAGATGTGCCCTGGCACAACAGAGCATATGCAGAGCAATTTCTAGGTACACCTCTTCCTACAACAGCTGCGAAGCTTCCACAGCCCTATCCACTCATGTGCCAAAGTGTCCCACAACTGACTCCACCTGAAGAAGCAAGTGTGTGGTGGCCTCCCAACAGCATCCTTGCAAAGTGCCTGTGAAGTATCAGGATCCAAAGCCTCAGAACAATTCCCAACGGATCCCAACTGCTAAGTGTGTTTGCAAGTTGAAACTTGAAGTCCAGGCTTTTCACACCAATCTATATGAGGCAACAATCAACATTTCTAATTCTACAGTAAACACTGTGCTCCCAACTGCCACTATCACGAGAACTGACCCACAAACACAAAACTGAAAGAGGAAAAAAGTTTGCCTGAAACCATGGTTGTCTTATCTTGGGGCTGCTGAATCCCTTTAAAACAAATCAACTGGATTATTTGAAATAAAATTTTAAAAGTATTAATTTTTCAAACAATAATAAAGAAAATAAGAGACTAAAATAAATAATATACCAGCAAAAAAAAGGTAAAAGCCTAATTTCCCAGTTAACCAGAGATTTCAATCACCCCCTGATGGAACGGCAGCTCCCGGCAGCACAGCCTTAAAGTCTGATTTATTCTAGGGTGTCCAGTGGGCAGCCAGGTGTTCATCAACGAGAAAAATCTGCCCACCTAAACATGGACCTCTTGGCTCTCATTGGGTATCTCCTTTTGGGAGCTGAGAAGCTCACTCTATTGCCTTTCCATAGCATTGAAAGTTAGTCACCAATGGGGTTGGGGTCAGAGGCTTATTTACAGCAAAACCCACAAACTGGTTCACAGTGAGGGCTTCTATTTTCCAAAACGAGCAATGAAAAATCTGAAGACGTGAAAAATCAGCAGAAGATATTTCAGTTCCTCCTGTCACACACCAGACATGCTCCACAAGACGAAAATAAGAGTCCTGCAGCTGCTGAGCCACTGCAGAGTACACAGCATGACAAACTCAAGCCCCCGGGTCACCTCAAAGAGTACCCCGGCTGCGTGGAGGCAACTGTGCCCACTCTGCACCGAGCCAAGGGAACATATGATTCTACTGATTTAAATAAGCATGATGCCCTAGTTCCTTGGTAAAGGTATAATAAAATATCACTGAGGAAATATGCAAAATTTTAGGTACTTGTTCATTTAATGACCTCCACACTGAATGCAAACCACATTCAAGCCGGAGTACAGAAACTACTCAGGAGCTAAGGAGAGAGGTCGGCAGGCACTGGTCCCTTCCAGGGCAATTTTAGAGAAGCTATTTTCAGCAGGCATTCATTTCCTAGAACAGCCTCCAAAGCACTCTCAAGAGAAGACTCTTCATCCATTACCCTCATGTTATTTCCTGAGAATCACCTGACCAGGCGACCGGTTCAAAACCAGTTCAAAGCGCTGCACTAAGGGCTCTATGGGATCCAGATATCCAGGCCGGATGTATTTCCATCAGGCGGGAAGCAGAGGACAGGAACACTTCCAATCCATCTTGACGATGCTGCCCACGGGAACTTTCTCCACTCACACCTTCCTGGACCTCGGAGGACACAATCACACAAGGCCATCTTCAAAGATAAAAACTTGCCAGCTCAGAAACTCTTACTCCACACTATCAATCATGACATGCCACTGATCACTAAAGTAACCACTATAAAGATTAATTTTTCCTGCTGATTTTCAGTATTATTAGAGAGAAAAAAGACTCATCAAGGCAAAACAAATAATTTTCTCTTTATTTGTAGCAAAATTTTTTTTAAAAACCTGAACAATAGGAATTCAAGCCTAGGGCTAACAA